AAAAAAAACCTGTAATATTCTTATAATCCCCGTTCATTAACAGTTAATTAGCAGTCAATTTTAATACTCTTCTGGCGACCATTGATCCACCTACGATCCCCCTGGAATCCCCCCAAAATCTCTCACCCCATCAGCGATAAAAAATGACCGTTTACCAACACGATTACTTTCGACGCTTCATATTCTTTTCTTTTTGCCTCATTCAGTTGTGCAGTAATCTGAGGCTGTTACCACATGATTATCAGAGTTACAAGTCCAGTCTCATCAAAGAATACGAGAAACAAGGTTCATTACGACTCGCCCAAGCGCGCACTTTGATCCGCATTGACGTCAACAAGACAAGAAAGATGTACAACTTTTTTGTGGAGCAAGGCTGGGTTAAACCGCCTGATAACTAGATCAGTCTGGAATAAAATGAAAATTTAAACCGACTGTAGTCCACGTATGGTTGTGCCTCGTTTCATTCCAAATTATGAGTCCTTGACAACGCGAGGCGGCGAGTGGTCTGCAAGGGGTCTGGTACTGATACTTGTTAGTGCCAGATCCCCCTGTTGACCTCTCTCCAACCTTTCTCGAATCCTCCCGCGGGCGGGGGAACGCGCGTCCTGTGGCGCTAAATTATGTTATGACCTGCCTGCAGGCTAAATCTATGAAAATTTGACTGTGAATGAGGGTATTGTGTATTTATGAGTCTAGTTCTCAAAGCATGACATGATTCTTGTGATTCCTTAGACTGACCCAAGGCAAGATGACCCCATGCATAAATACAGGATTTTTACGGCGCAGCCGGAAATCTGTCTCGGTATTCTGCGTTTTGTATGTGGTAAAACTTCACTTTTCTCGTGGGTTACTACACGCAAAATTTAAGCGAGGCTCTTTTTCAGCGAACTTAAGGGTTAGTCTCCCCTTCATCTCTGATATCTCTTGTACTCCGTTACAGAATTACCCAATTTTTAGTCAATTACATTTCGGCTATATTGATCTATATTCCGGAAACCATACGGAGCTAAAAAAAAAACCTAAGCACGCTTAGTCCAAATCCAACGAATAATAATAGACTTCTTGGAATTTCCTCGTTGATTGAAGGTTTTCGTCGTTTCTAGAATTTGACGTGCTGTTTATTTTTCTCTATGTTTGGACAATAATTAAGGTCATGTGTTCACCTTGAAAGAAAGTGCTTATATGAAATTTTGATGATGTTTCCTTTTCAAGGTAATCTCCCGCGTTCTCCAGAAAACACCTAGGTTTTTTTCTAAAGACTGAAAGCGGTGACTTGCAATGATGCTCAAGATTTCTTATATTCGACAGTAATTAAGTTCATTTGGAATTCTTTAATCCAGCAGATGAGGAAATGTAAGATTTTTCCGCTGAACTTTTGGAATTTTCCCAACTTTTTCAATAATACTTTAGTTTGCAAATATTTCGTTCCCCTTTGTGTTTTTGTTATTTCCAAAAATGTAGATTTCCGCTCATTAGCGCCAGTTTGAACCACACTTTTGAACATGCTATCATAGTAAAGATGATTATTGCATTTCTTAGAAATATAAACATCATTTTTGGCGAATTTCGACCAAAAAGCGCGTTATTCTTGGTATGGGTGATTAGAAATTAGATTCTCAGTACGTTCACCATGGTAACGGTGTTTGGTAGTCATGCGTGCTTCGGTTCTTCGCCAAAGTTGGACATCTTTTGTGGTCGACGTTTGGTAAGGAAATAACACCAGGTTTATGCTACGATCTGGTTGGTTTTTACTTCAGCTGGATATTTTTGGTAAATGTAAATCCTCTACAGTGGTCAGAGAACATCTAGAAAAGGAAATGCTTCTTAGTTTGAACGCCATGCGTCTCAATGCGTCTGCACTTTTGGTCTTCAATCTCTAGCTATTGGCTAACCCAAGTGCCTCCAAAGACGTGCTGATTTTAGCGGCGATGCATTCACTTCAAACCATGTCGAAAGCTCCGACTCAACCTGCCAACCTTCCTCCTCTTCAAAATCTTCCTTCTTGGTCTAGAAACTCTTTGGGAAGGAGAAAACAGAGGCGGCCCATCATTCGTGACCGCTTGCAGCCCATAAAATCAATTAGGGAAGAAATGGATGAAATCTCAGAGGACAGATCGAACGAGTTGTCAAATTTCTCAGGAAGGATTGTTTCTGCTCCTTCTCGGGGACACGGACTCGAACAAACCCAGAGACTGGATAACATAGAAAAAAGACTAGAATATCTTCGCACGCAACACGCCGAAACTTTAACAAATTTACATAATGAAATAGAACGATTAAAGGCTGAAAACAAAGGTGAGGAACGAAAGCAAATCTCGATTCTTAGTTTATAGATCTCATCATATACCTGCCCCATTGAATCGACCGAGTGACGATATCATTCTCAGTAAAAAGGATCACGTTGGAAAATCGTCGAAATGATTTTAAGGCTATTTTATTGCGTTAAAATTGTCCCGAGAACAGCTAATGTTCGGTTTGCCAAAGAAAACATCAGCTTTCTTGGCGCGTTCAAAACCAATTTTTTATTCTTGTACTTTGATAGTTGCGTCAAGATTTCATAATGAAACGACATGTACTTATGTGATATTAAATATGAACATCGTTTTATTGTTATTTGTTGCAGAGCTAAATTTTAAACTGGTAATGGCTCGGACGGGAGTAAACCTATCCAAAGGTTTGTTGACTCAAGCTAAATTAAGTTACCACTGTATGTTTTTTTCCATCACTTGTCGTTTAAATATTCATCATTCAATGATGCCAAAAATTTGCAGTTTCTCAAATTTTGCGTTTTATTACGAGGCTGGTCATCTGTTATTGAAATATCGTTAATTTACTCCTTCAAACTCCAAATGAGAGTGAGTTAATCATGAGTTGATGTCTTCTAAACATGCCTTCACTGTTCATTACCTGAAGTAATAAACCTGTAGGGTGCTTTGTCACAACTTAAGTATTACAGAAACTTAAAGCCGTTAAATAAATAGTACTTAGTGTACATCTAGAAAGAACAAATTTGCATGCCAACGGTATAGTCCATTGTTATAATTGTCATATTTAGTTGATTAGTGACGTGCAACTTAAGTTATTTACTTAGCAACACTCAAAATGTTTTCATGTTGAAGAATGATCTTATTGAATTCCAGTGGGCTACCACAATTTGTGGTCACTTTATAGTGATAATGATCTTTAATATTTGTTTATTCTATGATCAGTGGGTCTGCATATGAATGAATGAATGACAGAGACTTTTTTGTCTCTAGATTGTAGGACAGTTATTGAGGGAGAGGGTTCTCTGAAAAATCAAGAACAAATAAAGACATAACGAAGATTTAAAGTTAGAAATTTCACCTTGTGATGAATAGATTTATCCAGTACTGTTTACTTGAAAAGATCTGACAGTGACTGTTACTTTGGTGTAGGGGATTAAAATGCAATGTCTCTATTATACCCTTGTGATTTAAACTTTTAGATAAGCATGAAAATTCAACCAGTATCTAATATTATCATCAACTGCACATATTAGAGTACAAATATCATGCAAATAGAGTGCAAATATCCTGCAATATTGTAGAGTTGGTTATTTTGTAATTTTAAAAAACCTGTTTTTGTGGTCAGCTTTGCGCACTAATTGCTTCCCTATCTGCTTCGCTTTTCCTGCCTTATGAGAAATGAGCAGACAGTAAAGTTTGCATTTTGACTTGCCCTACCGGCTCATCAAAATACAGCAGAGCTTGTGAAAAATACTCAGTGATACTACATGCTAAAATGTCTGATAGGATATATTGATATTCAAAGGATTGATTCTTTGCTCTATTGAGATAATTATCATTGACAGAATGGTTTTGGTTAAAGGATGAAGCAAAACCAAAAGTGTTATGTTTATTGAAGTGAAACATTAAATCTGAAATACATTGTTAAACAAACTGTGCATAAAATTTATGTATAAAACTAAAATTGAGAACAACCCCACCATTCTTTCCATTGTTTCAATTTATGAACCACTGATCATTGGGTAACGGTTTCCATCGCCCTTTATATCCTTTAGTCCTTTATGCTAAACACTGGATAGCGATTTTGGATCATTGTTTTAATGTGATTGAGGGATAAATGCAGAAGTTACACCAACCTCACAAAGTGGTAAAACAAAATAAATGATCTTAAAGAGTCAAAATCTAGTAAACTGTCTAATGTTATTTCTCTCTTATTTTTATCATCAGAAGATGAGACATCTCCTAGCTCTGTGGAAAGTGATACATTACAGTCTGCAGACTTAGGTAGGTTTTCACATTTTCATTGTATTGTTTTGTTTACTCCCTATCCAACTTTTTAAGCAATTTTGATGGAATAGGAAATGATATGCTGTTGGTTATTTCTTTATATCATAACTAATTAACTCTCAAGATCTAGATGTTAATTCTCATCTCTAGCTACTACACATTTCCCTGTAAATTGGCTATGAGAATTTGATGCTAGATCGTAAGAACGACTTGAACTTGATAAGTTTGAGTATTCTCATTACCAGTTTGCTGGATAATGTGTGAATATTACAGGGGGAAATTACATGTTAATCACTTCTGAGAGTTGAAGGGTTAATTATTATTTTTGGTGTTTTACTAAAGGAAAGAGTGTGGTTTTAAATTATCACTGTTAGTTTCAGTGGGACGATAAATTCTCACTTTTAATCCTTTACACTGTAATATTAACATCTATATTCTCCATACTGTTCTCTATACATTTCCTTTGGTACTGAAAAGGAGAATTTGTTCCTTGAGTTTATATTCATTTCTTCTATTCTCATGATCTTGCTGAATGATTCAGCAGTATTACTGAAAGGAGAAACTAGATGCTGGTCATTCCAAGGGTTTTCAAGGATTGAAATAACAATAGTGTCTTTACATTCCTTAATAGTGATTTAATTGATTTTACAGCTGAAGGTGATCAACTTGAGGGAGTTCACAATGTTGAAGAGAAGAAAAATGATAAAAATCTGCCTTCTCAGCAGGCACAGACAGTTAAAGAATCTTCCAACACAAATACAACACAAGAAGTGTCAAACTCAAGTGCAAAAAGGAATAAAAGGTTTCTGTAAAGTATTCTTGATTTTATATAGATTGTTATTATTACAAACAGTGTGTACCTGAAATTATTACAATTTGATGTTAATTACCTGTATGGTGGAAAACTTTCACTAAGTACTTCTGGGTGAACTTGAAAGTAAGCTACACTTACTGAAGGTTAATCTGTATCCAGCTTATAAATATATGTGGGGTGGGGCGGGTATTCCCAAGTATTTAACTCCCTGTAGTGATTAACAGGTAACTTATCCATATGTTATCCAGCAAACAGATGATGAAAATACTCAAACTTATAAAGAAGAAGTTGTGGTCTTGATCTAACCCCAAATTCTGATAAATAATTTACAAGAAAATGTACATCATCTAGAAGGGAGGATCAAAAATCAGATCTTGGGAATTAAAGGGTTAATTGAAGCAGGGGCTGTGAATGGGTCCAAATTATTGAAGTGAAAATGGAAGCAGTTTAATACAGACACAACTGAGGAGAATGTAACACATATGCAGTGAAGTAAGACACTAAACCAGACTAGGCTTCAGCATATTTATTTTGTCAAGTCTAGGCTGGTTAGTTTTCTCACTTCACACTTCAATCCACTAGACATGATACTGTTAACAAGCTGTTGTTAAGAGGAATGTATAAAGCATATTATAACTGTGTACTTAATTGTTTCAAACAGTCATAGTACAGATAGTTTAGTTAGATGTAATAAGCATCTGGGATGATGTGGCCAAACTGCCAGCATGGTGGATTCTGGGTTGAGAAGTCTGGGTGCAAGATACTTTACTTTCATAATGCCTATCTCCATTTAGGAGTATAAATGGGTATCAGCTAACTGTCAGGGAAGCCTGGGGAGAGGGGGGGATCCTATGATGGACCAACATCCCACTCAAGGGGTGTGATAATACCCCTTATTGCCTTATGCTACAGAAACCCAGAGAAGCTCCAGTTGAATGGGCCACTTGGCTCCAGTGCAGACCTTTTTACTTACTTTAGTAAGAGTTATCTTCAAAACATTCCCTTTTGTAAATTCCATACTTAAATTAGGTAAAGGCATTTTTGTGCAGTGTCATGATTGTATAACATAAGCTAATGACACTGTTTTAACACAAGTTTTTTTGGTGTAAATCATAATTATAGGTAGTTCTACATGACACAAAACATGCCATATTATTCATATTTGAAAATCCTTAAAATTGTTGGAGCCAAACATTTACCGTAACATAAGAACTGTAGAAAAGGATACCATTGAACAACCTTTTAAAAGTGTTTAAAATTTATGATACATGCAATTGAAGATGTGATTAATGATATGCTCCTATGATTTACATTGAAGAGACTACAACATCTCTAGAAATGTTAAAACATTTATTTGACATGAAGTTCAAATTTTCCTTTAAATTTTAATTGTCCTCTTTGCTCTTGTTCTTTTAAAGTTTTGGACATGGATCTGGAAAAATGCCTCTTGCAGCCAAATCAACACCCTCCCCTCCTGTGTCAGCCAAAGGCCCAGTCATCAAACCTAAGAGTTCTGGAAAAAAGAAAGCAAAATTGTACAACCGGCAAGAAAAACAGACAAATTTAAGTTCAAATTCCCCTCAAGCTCTCAAGTTATCCTCTACTTCACCTGCACCAGTAAAGCAGGGGATTCCCCTAGGGCAATCAGTTCTGGTTGTCACAATAAAGGATAAGCATGTAAAAGTTCACATGCCGTCAGACAGTGCCCCACGGTCACCAACCTTAGTGGAGTGTAAAGCTATCATTAAACATCAACAAGAAACAAACAAAAGGCAAGAACAGGAGGTATGTTTTTATCAGTGATTGATTAAATACCAACTTCTCCTTATGGTAACAACATATTTTAAAGTAATGAAGTGGTGAGAATACAGATTATCATCCATTAGGAATACTATTTTTGATAAAACTTCAAATTCTCAGAATATCCATACTAAGAGTGTGTTGGGCAGTCAGAAAGGAGAGTTACCAGGTCAATCTTAAGAGTGAAAGGGTTGATGACAGTGAAAAGAATCATCCTTGAATCGTGTTATCATTACTTTTGTTGTTTCCTGGCAGACCAAGTTTTCTCACAAGACATTTTAAAGAGACATTTCAAACAATAATATTAGTCAGATGCAAAGAGGGAGGAGTTGTCAAATAGATAAATTGCTTTCTTTTTCAATGCAATGTAGTCTTTCTTTATGATATTTTTAGGTAGTCCTAGGATAAATCCAAGCATTTTGATTCATTCTTACTTGGTCTGTGCTTTGCTATATACAGCAGAAACAGTTATACGCAGTTTATTTTTGTCAACAAAAGCCAGCAAATTCAAAATAAACAAGTTTGATGCAAGTGCCATTAAGAAAACTACTTACTAACCCAAGAATATTCCCCAGTACAGCCTTAATGCTCAGTTAATAAGAAGTTATTCTCTTTGGTAAAGTATTTTTTGAACTGTTTTAGCTTTCGAAACTAAAGTCAGACTTGAATGATGCCCTTTACTCTGACAAGTGGTCACCAGATACATATCTCGTAACCAAGTCCTATGTTACAGATGATGCACCAACCAATACAAGGTATGCAGCAATTAAGTATTGCCCTTAACAGTACAATGCATTTCAAAAACTAACCAAAGAAAATGGTATTAATGACTTAAAAAAATTTCTCTGCAGACAAAACACTCCTGCTTCTAGATCTTTACCACGGTTGCATTCTAGAGATCAGATGCGTTCAGGAAGGTAAGGATTTGAGTGTTGCAAAATTTGTTAGAATGAATTATTACTCTCTATTTTCAGACTGGTACTTTTAAGCAAGAGAAAATATATCTTTAAGTTAATTTTTCCCCTTTTTTATGAGGGTCCTCATATTTTTTTTTACTTATCATACACTGTAGTTTAAAAGATCAATTAACAATTGGTTCATACGTCAGCGTGCATTCATCGAGATATGAGGCACATGGGAAGTTTGGAGAGCACAAGAGATGCATAAGAGTTGTTCGAGGTGTAGTCGAGCGCAACTCTAGCTTCTTGAGTGCTCTCCAAACTTCCCAAGTGCTTCATATCTCAATTAACGCACAGTTGATGTATGAACCAATTGTTTTATAACATTTTCAACCCAAAGGAAAATTTTTTTTCTTGAGGGATTTGTTTGCTGACGTATAAGCATGCACAATAGGATTACGAAGCACGCTTGCACAATTAAATTTGATTGCACAAATTTACTAGCTATGTTATAAATTTACTTTTATTATTTTGTTGAGATTGTTGTACTATTGATTTGTTGTCAGCTTTCAGAGGAGTCATTAGTCCTTGTGCTGATATGGTAGCTTAGAATACCTTTTATATTGATGTTTATCACTTACAATTATTGTGTGAAATGACTATTAAGAATTGTGCGAACGGTCCAAAACTTGTTCGAAAAGACTTGTGTGAAAAGTCTTTTGTATGAAATGCCCTGTATTTGCTGATATGGTTTGCAAGACAGGATAGACTATTTCCTGGTCAGCAGGTTGTAAATGAATTCCATGTCTTTTCTATTTCAAAGGTTGACAGCTGGGCAAATGCATGTTGTTCAAGACAGTGTATCTCTTCCAGTTCTTCGCCCCAATGGTGCAGCAAATGTTGCTGATAGGAAACGTCGACAGCAGGCATTAGTTAGAGGAAGAGGCAAAAAGGACCTCTATTAAATTATGTGTCAAAATTATTGATCAGCAATCAAATTAATATTCTTCCCTTAAAAGATGATACATTTTTTATGGTAGAGCTAGAATATTTCCCTAATTAGTCAATAGTCACTCTTTTGCCCATTGTGCACTTGTAAATATCTTTTTTTCCTTACAATGATAGATTTTTCAATCCTTTACATTTTTCTTCTTGGTCTATACTACTGCAGTAGTACCATTAAATACAGTACATGGGGTGAAGAATTATTTAATAAAGTTATTTAAATTGAAATGAGTTGTTATTTTCCTCTGTTCTGTGTATGAATTTTTTTTTGCTTCTAAACAAATTCTTTTACAGGAAACTGTTCAATGAAATTTTGTATCTATAATACATTGAGGGTGTGCTGAAATAAGAGTTTTTCACACCTTCAGTTAAGTCTGACTTGTTTTTGCTTTTATTGGTATGGAGAGCTTTTTGCACAAAGCTGTTACTTGTACAAATACTTACCTACCAAATAAGTTAGTGAACTATTTGCAGTTTTGGAAATTTTATGGTATAGAAGTGATAACTGCATCAATATATTAAGGTGTCATAGGGGGCACTTACCACAAATGTGAAAAGGGAGGCATCAATGATTGTATGTTTGATTCCCTGTGGTTGACTCTTTTGCCTACAGAACAGGTGTCATTTTACTTTGGCATTTCAGACAAGCAGAGGCTAGCTCAAGTTTAGTCTGAAGAGAGTGTGAAGGGGGAGTCATGTGGGAAGAGTAGTGTGGACAAGATGATGTCATGATTTGGGGGTCTTCTGCTTACTCATTTCCTGCCCCTTGTGCTTTCCTTGCACTTGCCTGCACTTGCCTCCACTTGCTTCAAAAATGTAAAAATTCCATGCCTTTTCTCTAGGCTACAACTCTTGGTTTTGCAAATTTTATTCACCTTCCTTTTTGACAACAACTTTTCCTTTTTGATATTTGTCAGTACTTTCATTACCAGACTCCTTGACAATGCATGGATATATTGTGGTTCAATTTTATCCTTGGTTCAAATTTTTATTTCCTTTGTTTCAAATTCATTATCATACATCACAATACCTGAAAACAAAAAAAAACAAAAAACAAATTTGAACCAAGGATAAAATTGAACCACAACAGATATTTCAGTGAAAAATTGCTTAGTGGCCACTATTGTGAGTGGAAGGGTAGAGGCTAAACATGGGTCAGCAAGGGAGAGACCTTTATCCCCCAACATACCTCCCATTGTCAGGCCTTTAAGGCAAAGTTCTACCTGTGAGTTAACCTCCATGAGTGACCAAGACAGAATTTTCACTTATAATGTCAATTCAACACTAAGTGGAGATGGGATGAGAATGAAGAAAGATCTATATTAAGGAGCTATTATTTGATCTAATATTAAATGCTCCAAACTAACTTCATAAGAATTTGAAGGCAAACACCAAGGAGAATTACAAATTAATCAAATTTTAGGGGTGGAAGGGTAAAATGCTTTGCCATAAAAGCCAGGAAGAGAATTTACGATCGCCCAACCAGGAAATGTAGACAAAAGGCCTCAAATTATGCTTTCGTTCTCTTGGTTTTCTTTTTCTTGTGGTTTTGTTTTGAAATTTTTCTTCCATGGTGTGTTCGTTGTTCGCCCCTACGGCTACGCTTTGTTAGTGACTGAGAGAGTCTGGAACAGAGAGCCTCGCTCACACGATCGTTTGAAAAACAAAATGGCGGTTTACTTGAAGATTCGATAATCTCGCATTTTACCTTTCCTCATTTCTTTATATAAAAATTATTGCTTCTGAAAAGACTCTGAGTTTTGATGAAGAGGAATTCCAATGATTTAGAGGTGAGTTAAATTGCGTAAAATGTATTTACTCAAAGGAACAACTCGAGCTTAGGACTCGTAAGGTCGGTCCGTCAATAAACTCTATCGCGTTAATATCTAAAATATTTAAGCTCAAGTGTGATCATAAGCTTCCTCCTGTCCATCTCGTTCAGTCTGAATCATAGAAACTAGGAAATCGCCCATTAGTCGATAACGTGCGAGGAAGTAATTTTTTTTTTCTCTGATAAATGTGATCACGTGTGGTCGTGATCGTTGTAGCATGATCGAAGTTCTGATCTGTTCCTTCGCTCACGAGTCCAAAATATTTTCGCAGATCGAAAACTTCTCAACGTAGGGTTGGAAATAAAGTCAGAGTGCACTGTAGAAATCGAATTATTCTGATGGATTTATTATTGTTGCTACCTTTGGTTGTACTTTCCGTAAATTGTTCTGTTTGATATGCAATCTTGTTAACAAGATGCATTTAATTTATTATCAGACTCTGCAGCATGATGACTCCCTAAGAGTGATAAGCATCCAATTTCTCCGATAGCATCATCCCTTAATCAAATATTATGGTCATGAGAATAAATGGAATGATGGCAACCTCAAGAAGCACTTGATTGTCAGACAAATTCTCCTTGTTAGCACCATAAGAAATGTATATAAAACAGTATGGAGAACTTGCATACTGATCTTAGGGTGTAAAAGGTTAAACAGCCTTATACCTGTGTTTTTCTTGATCAAGGGTTCTAAATCATTTCCATTTCTTGCAGGATGTCAGCTGATGTTCTGTGGAAACCATCCCAAGTGGGTTTTAATTTTCCGAGCTTGAATCAGCCAGTCTCTGTTCCTCAGCGGGTGATGGCTGCACCAAATAGTGGATCAGCTACTCATAAAATGAATCAACTTCAATTTAATCTGGGAGTGCCAACAACTGCTGATCAGTTTACAACAAGGTTTAGAAAACCCCAACCTATTGTTATAGAAAAATTAGGTGACCAGAATCAAACACCACAGTTGTTACCTCAAAGGCATGCAACTACCCCTGTTGTTTATCCTGTTGTGCCATCAGTGTCATCCTCTATCACAAGTGACCGACTTGCACTAGCAGTTCATTTGGCCAAGAAAGATGTTAGAAAGGTGAAAGAAATTGGAACAGAGAATGTTTTAGTTTCACAAGAAGAAGAAACAAAGAGAAGGCATTTTGCAGTCACAGGCAAAAATATGGGCGTTGGGAAAAAGAATAGGGTAAAAAGTATGAAATCTAAATCACAAGCGGCAATGTCAGAAGATAAACCTACTTTGCGCGAAAGGGTTCATATTGCTGTAAAGAAACAAGAGGCAGAAGCGAGGAAGCAGCGTAAAATGTACTTTTATCCAGCTGCCAGGGAAGATGATGAATTTGAGTCGGATGGGGAAAGGACACAAGCTAATGAAATCAGAAAACTCCGCAAAGAGCTCCATCAATATATGAAACAAATGGAAAGTTTGAAAGATGAGAGACCAGAAATGTTGAAGAACAAAGACAAAAGGTTAAAGAAAAGAAAAGAGGGTGAAGGAAGGCTTGCAGATGAAGAGGTAGATAAACGCCAAGTAGTGAGGGCTGAAGAACAAGCTGCCAGATCAGCAAGGATGCTTTATGTACTTCAGAGACAGGTAACATACTGGTACATCTTTAATTAGAGGAAGATTTGATAGGGAGTGAGTATTTCAAAAAGGTCAGTTGTCTTCTAAACAGCTGTGTTCTTGAAAGTCACAATCTTCCTTACCAAAACTATCTTCTGCCCCAAGAATCACATTCAATTTGTTATTCAGCCTCTAAGGCCATCCCCATTGAATGAAAAAAATTTCCCTTAGTCCAACTGACACATTTTTTTGTGGAAAAAAAAATAACCCTATCTGAGAGGGAAAACTTTTAGTCTGGGTGATTACAGAAAAAGTAATCCTGGAATAGACTTGGAATGGTGAAAGATTCCTATAGATTTGCTCTAGTCACTCAGGATGAGAAACTCTTGAAGACAATTGATCACAGGAGTAGGTACCTGAACCAAATCTGTCCACCCCTTCACCATGGTGCTGGCCTGATGGTTGGTAGGTTGAAATGCAGTTCAAGAGGTCTGGGTTTGAGCCGAGTGGCTGGGTCATTGTGTTATGTTCTTAAGCAAAACTCACCATGCCTCTCTCCAACCAGATTTAAAAATGGATATATGTGAACTGTCAGGAAAACCTGAAAAAATTTAGGGGTGTGGAACCATTTGGGGTAAGGGATGGGGTTATCTGCAATGGACAAACATCCATCTACAAATGTACCAAGAGTAAAGTCACTTTCAGTACCTTCTTACTTTAACCCATTAACCCTCGTGAGTGACCAAAACAGAATTTCTCCTTTTAACATCAATACAATATCAACCAGATAAGTGATGAAAAATAATTTAAAAAAATATCAATTTAGGGATAATTAGTTGATCCTATTCTAAATTCTAATAACTAACTTTATAAGAATTGTATGGTTGATTATAACAAGAATTAGAAATTTGATCTGGGAGTTAAAGGGTTAAAAACCTGGATTAACCTCTTACTACAGACATTGCCGATATTTTCCCTAAAGTATTTGTATAATGCCCAGACTGAGATCATGCAAGAATAACGACATTAAATGATATCTAACTTGAAAATACTTTTCCTTCAAGGTGCGTGAGATTGAGGATGAGTTAAACAAAAAGAAAAGAGGGATAAAACATACAAAAAAGGTGAGAGTTTTAAAGGAATTTGACTCTCCTTAGTCACCAGCAACAGGTTGATTTGCAACTGGACACTTGGAATTAATATTATTTTATTTAATTCTCAACTATTCATGCTAAAAGTTTCATCTTTTTAAATTTAATTCCACATTATTTATGGTACATTATTGGCATTAGCACAAGATAAGTTGTTTGCAATTTTGAGGAACATTTAGATGAAGTCTTCCCACTCTAGCAAGCACTAACTACATGTACTTAGATTTAGTTAGGTTTATTGTCAGTATCATTGGGTTTAATTTTTTTCTACAATCTTGTATTGGATCTCAGAGCCAGACCCTAAGCCGCTTGGCAGCAGCTCACAGGGGAGCAGTTAGAGCATTGCAGACATTTGTCAGCCAGGCTCCTCTCCAGCCTAAAGTTGGCCATGGCTCACCACCAATGTACCAGGAACTGTCTGCCCTCATTAGACAGTTGTCACTTTTGGCAGCACAGTTGCACATCAGTGGGGAAGATTTCTCTGATG